AAAAGGTGAAGTCACATGGCATCCACAGTGAGCTAATAAGATGGTTACAGAACTGGTTTAGTCATAGAAGACAGAGTAGCAGTGGAAGGGTGTTTCTCAAATTGGAGATCTCTGACTCGTGGTATTCTATAGGTGTCAGTACTGTTGTTTGTAATATATATAAATGGCTTAGAGGAGAATGTTGGTGGCCTAATTAGTAAGTTTGTGGATGACACAAAGATTGGGCGAGCTGCAGATAGAGAGGAAGATTACCAGAGGACACAGCAAGATATAGATAAGCTAGAGTTATCAACTCCTTAGTCTGTCTAACTGTTCTTCTCTCTGTTTAGGCTCTATCCTTTCATTTACTCCCTACCCCACCCACCTCCCTATTTTCTGCATATAAACTGACGTTTTCCCAGCTACCATCAGTTCTGAGGAAGGGTCACTGGACCCGAAACGTTAACTGATTTTTTTCTTCACAGATGCTGCCAGACCTGCTGAGCTTTTCCAGCAACTTCTGTTTTTGTTCCTGATTCAAAGCATCCGCAGTTCTCTCTGTTTTTATTCAGTATTTAACTCACTACCACATCTCTTCAAGGCATGCCCACCTTGAAGAAGTTCTGCTCCTCTCTCCAACGGAATCTTCACTCCCATCATTCTTCTCGCCCATCGACATTAATTTCACTGTCACTTCTGGTGTTTGACCAAGTATTTGCTAAAACTCATTTCCACAGCCACATCACAGTCCTCAGTGATTGCCACCGGCTCAGACTCAGTCCACGTGGATTCTAACTGATGTTTCATCCCTCATGTTTTGAATCCTCCCAGGATCACATATCTCCGTGATGTTTAAAATTCCACAGACAGTTCCTCTCACTGCATCCTGAGATCCACACCGAGAGTCATGCGACTTCACGTGCGCACTCTCGACCTTTCTCTCCAACAGTATCGCAACATGCTGGCTCAAGCCCTCTGGAACCTTCCTCTCCCACTCTTCCCTCTGACTCCAACGCCTCTCCCAACCCCACCTCCTGTCGGGTATTCACCATCCCTCCTAACCTTCCGCTCTCCGATGCTGAATGTTCTGTACTCAGCAAAGGCCTCAGCTTTACTCCTCTGCATCCCCACCTTAACGAATTTCAGGCACAACATGACACCGAACTCTTCGCCTCCATGCCCACTTCTTTTGGACAAGAGTCCTCTCCCCATCCCCCAGACCTCTTTGCCCAGTTCCAACATTTTCCCTCCATCTGGACCCCTCCCTCTGGCATTTTACCTGCACTCAATCTGTGCATTGAGAACTGTCAACGTGATATTAGTCACCTCAATTTCTCTGCCTCCCTCACCTATCTCCCTCCGAACTGACTGCACTCCATGCACTTAGATCTAACTCTGATTTTGATTATAAGCCTGCTGATAAGGGTGATGCTGTGGTAATCTGGCGTACTGATCTTTACCTTGCAGAGGCTGAGCGCCAGCTCTCAGATACCTTCTCCTCTCTTTCCCTGGACCATGACCCCACCATGGCACATCAGGCATCGTATCAACAACAGTCACTGACCTCATTTTATCTGGCCATCTCCCACTCACTGCTTCCAAACTGTTAGTATCCCAGCCCCACACAGCTCACTTCTACCTCCTTCCAAAAATCCACAAACAGGACTGTACAGGTAGACCTATTGTTTCAGCCTGCTCCTGCCCCAAAGAACTCATCTCTTCCTACCTTGATGCAGTCTTCTCTCCCTGGTCCAATCCCTGACCACGTACATCCGTGGTTCCTCTGACGCCTTACGTCGGTTTCAAAACATCCAGTCTGCAGGTTTTATCTGCCTCCTCTTTACCTTGGACGTGCAATCCCTTTACATGTCCATTCCCCACTAGGAGGGTCTTAGGACTTTCAGCTTCTTCCTGGATCAAAGGCCTGAACCATCCCCACCCACCACCACCCTCCTCGGCTTGGCTGAGCCCACCTTCACCTTCAACAACTTCTCTTTTAACTCCTCTCATTTTCTTCAGTTAAGAGGGTTGGTCATGGGTACCTGCATGGGCCTTAGTTATGCAGGTCCCTTTGTGGGGTGAAACGTTGCTTGTTCCAGTCAGATTCTGGCCCCCATCCACAAGTCTTTCTCCAATATATCGATGATATCGTCAGTGCTGCTTCACTCTCTCACCCGGAATTGGAAAAGTTCATCGATTTTCGCTTCCGACTGCCACCCTGCCCTCACTTTCACCTGGTCTATCTCTGACTCCTCCCTTCCCTTCTTCGACATTTCTGTTTCCATTTCTGGGGATAGGCTAGCTACTAATATCCACTATAAACCCACTGACTTCCACAGCTACCTGGACTATACATTCTTGCACCCTGCTTCCTGCAAAGACTCCATTCCATTCTCTCAGTTCCTCCGTCTCCGTTGTATATGTTCAGGTGAGGCCAACTTCGACAAGGCAGCCTGCGAAATGTCCATCTTCTTCCACAACTGAGGATTCTCTAGCGCCGTTGTCGACAGGGCCCTCCACCAGATCTGACGCATCTCCCGCACTTCCGCCTTCACTCTTTCTCTTCCCTCCTGCAACAGCAATAAGGGTTCTCCTTGTCTTTACCTGTCATCCCACCAGCATCCACATTCAGAAGATCATCAGATGCCATTTCTGCCACCTCCAGCGAATGTCACCACCAGACACATATTCCCCTCCCCTCCCTTGTCCGCCTTCCACAAGGACCGTTCCCTCCAAGACATCCTGGTCCACACTTCCTTCACCCCCAACAACCCTCCTGCACCTTCCCCTGTAACTGGCGAAGGTGCAATACCTGCCCATTTACCTCCTCCCTCCCCAGTATCTAAGGGCCCAAATATACCTTCCAAGTGAAGCAACACTTCACCTGCACTTTCCGGAATCTAGTCTACTGCATTCGCTGCTCACAATGTGGTCTCCTCTACACTGGGGAAACGAAGCGTAGACTGGGTGACCACTTCGCAGAACATCTACGTTCTACTTGCAAAAAAGACCCTGAGCTACCTGTTGCCTGCCACTTCAACACACCACCCTGTTCCCTGGCCAACATCTGTCTCTCTGGCTTGCTGCAGTATTCCAGTGAAGCTCAGCACAAGCTGGAAGAACAACGCCTCGTTTTCCGCTTGGGGACCCTGCAGCCCACCGGACTCAATATCAAGTTCAATAATTTTAGGGCCTAAACTGTCCCATGTCCTAGCCCCCTACGCCACATACCCCACATACTAGCCCTTGTTATCACATAGCCTGCCATTACACACAACCTGTTGTTAGTCACTCTCTGTCCCGATTAACAACTATTCACCCGCCCAGCCTGATCATTATCAATTCCTTTGTCTGTCCAACTGTTCTTCTCTCTTTTTAGGCTCTATCCTATAAATTACTCCCTACCCCACCACCCTCTGTATTTTCTGCATATAAACTGGCATTTTCCCAGCTACCATCAGTTCTGAGGAAGGCTCACCGGACCCGAAACGTTAACTCTGATTTCTTCTTTGCAGATGCTGCCAGACCTACCGAGCTTTTCCAGCAACTTGTGTTTTTGTTCCTGATTTACAGCACCCGCAGTTCTTTCGGTTTTTGTGTATAGATAAGCTAGACACTAGGACGGAGAAATGGCAGATGGAGTTTAATCTGGACAAATGCGAGGTGATGCACTTTGGGATATCTAATGCAGGAGGGAAGTAAACAATAAATGGCAAAACTCTAAATATCATCAACATAAAGAGGGATCTTGGGTACAGGTCCACAGTCTCCTCAAAGTGACAACCCAAATGGATAAGATGGTCAAGGTGCCATTTGGCATGCTTGCCTTCATTGGGCAGGGCACCAAGTATAAAAATTGGCAAGTCACGTTGCAGCTATCAATAACTTCAGTTTGGCCATATTTGAAACATTAGATACAGTTATGGTTACCACACTTACCAGAAGGATGTGGAGGTTTTCGAGAGGGCAAAGAAACAGTTTATTAGGATGTTGCCTGGTTTGAGGGGTACTGACGATGAGAAGAGATTGGACAAACTTGGACTGTTTTCACTTGAATGTCAAAGGATGAAGGATGAACTAATAGAAGTTTACAAAATGATGACAGGCATGAATAAAATGGATAGCCAGAGTCTTTTTCTTACTGTAGAAATGTCAATTACTAGGGGACATAGATTTAAGGTAAAAGGAGGAAAGTCTGAAGGAGATATGAGAGGCAAGTTTTGTAAAGAGGGTGGTAAATACCTGGAATGCAGTGGCAGAGGCAGATACAATAGCAACATTAACAGATGTATGAATAAGCAGGGAATAGAAGGATGTGGACAGCATAGAAGCAAAAGGTTTTTAGTTTAGAAAGGCACCATGTAATGGTACAGCCTTGGTGGGCCGAAGGGCCTGTTCCATTGCTGTACTCTTCTTTGCTCTTTAATTCTTCTTGAGATTTCCTCTGGGACTCCGTTCATTCCCAACAACTCTGATTGGGTAATGCAGTCACAGCAGCATTATCTCCTGTATTTGTGTTGACAAATGTGGTTTTTGAACTCTCAAAGCAGAAGTAGAAGTATTGAATAATATCCTTAATAATCATCATTGCTCCAGTAAACAAATCCACAACACTCAAAGAAAGCATCAATTTCAAGACACCATAGCATTTAAATTGGTGTGCACAGACAGGCAAAATTTAGCAACAATACTTTAAACAATATAACTGGCATGCAGCAATACACAAAAAGCCATAACTGTAAATGCACTTTACACAGGCAGGGGAGATCAGAGCTAAACAGTTGCATGTTTGCTCCTAGTCATTGTTCAGTATTAAATTGCCCAATTGAAGAAGTTCACTTAGATAGTAATATTCATACAATACATGATTCCTTTGTTGAAGAGTTGAAACTGCCCTCTCCCTTTCGCAGCCAACAGAACTCTTTTGCTGCCCCTCTCCTTGGCCCATCCCCTCTTTCTCCATCCACCACCCCCTTGACCCCATCCCTCTTCCAAACTTTTCCTCTCCTACACATACTCACTTTGACCCCAGCCTCATTGGTTTCACTTTCACCCATCCTCATTTCTGTTACTTCAGATCTGAGTGAAGAGACCTGGAGACAGAAGCAATGTTTCATTACGTTCAACTGAAACATTTCTTCTCAATCTAAGCAATGAGATACAAACTTATCTGTATGTCCAGTCAACACTTGCGGTTAGATTTATTGTTTACAAATTCTGGATACAAGCAGTTTGGGTCCAGGGCCAGGCAGAGATTCAGGCCCGTTTAGAAGCTTTTTTTTAAACATTTATATCAGACACTCCTGCTTCCTCAACACTACTTGTCCCTCTAACTATCCTAGTACCATCGGCAAACTTAGCAACAATGCCCTCAGTTCCTTTGCCCAGATCATTAGTGTAACTGTTGTGGTCCCAACTTGGACACCTATGGAACTCCACTAGTCACCAGCTGCCATCTTGATAAAGACCCCTTTATCCCCACTCTTTGTCTTCTGCCAGTCAGCAAATCCTGTATCCATGCCAGTAGCTTGTCCCTAACACCATGGGCTCTTGTCTTATTTAGCAGCCTCCTGTACGGCACCTTGTAAAAGGCCTTCCGAATATCCAAATATATCAAGTCCATTGGCTCTCATGTCTAACTTGTCTGTTACCTCCCCAGAAAGAGATCTAACATTTGTCAGGCATGACCTCCTCTTCATGAAGCCATGCTGACTCACACCTATTTTAGCATGCACTTCCAAGTATTTTGCAATCTCATGCTTAATAATGGGCTCTAAAATCTTAACAATGACCAAGGTCAGGCTAATCGATCTATAATATCCCATTTTCTGCCTCCCTCCATTCTTAAGCAGTGGTGTTACATTACCCACATTCCAACACTCAGACCTTCCCCGACTCCAGTGATTCCTGAAAGATCACTCCCAATGCTGCCACAATCTCCTCAGCAATCTCCTTCAGAACTCTTGGGTGTGGTCTATCTGGAGTGGATGATTTATTCATCTTCAGACCTTTCAACTTCCCCAGCACTTTCTCCTGAGTGATGGCCATTACACTCACTGCTGCCCCAAGTCTCCTGAAGTTCTGGTATGTTGCTGGTTTCTTCCACAATGAAAACTGATGCAAAGTACCTATTCAGTTCCTTTACGATTTCTCTGTTCTCCATTTCTACTGCTCCAGACTCATTTTCCAGCAGTCCAGTGTCTATACTTGCCTCACTGTTACCATTGATACATCAAAGAAAAACTCTTGCAATCTTTTTTTATAGCCAACTTATTACTGGGACTATTTCATCTTCTGCACCCCTTATAGTTTTGTTTTAAAGTTATCCTCTGCTTGTTTTGAAGACTTCCCAATCCTCGAGTTTCCCACTAACCTTCACCACATTGTATGCTTTTTCTTTGGCTGTTACACTGCCTGAATTGCCAGGTCGGCCACGGTTGCCTCACACTCTCTTTAGTATGTTTCCTCCTGTGCCTCCCAAATTACCCCCAGAAACCCCCACCATTGCTGCTCCACTGTGTTCCCTGCTCGGCTCTTTTTCCAATCAAATCTGGCCAGCTCCTCCCTCATGTCTTTTGTAGTCACCTTCACTCAATTGTAATAACATTACATCCAATTCAAACTTCTTCTCTCAAACTTCAGTTTTAATTCTACCATATTGGTGTTACTGTCCCCGACAGATATCTTTAGAACATAGAACACAGAACATTACAGCGCAGTACAGGCCCTTCGGCCCTCGATGTTGCGCCGACCTGTGAAACCAATCTGAAGCCCATCTAACCTCAACTATTCCATTATCATCCATATGTTTATCCAATGACCATTTAAATGCCCTTAAAGTTGGCGAGTCTACTATTTTTGCAGGCAGGGCATTCCACGCCCTTACTACTCTGAGTAAAGAACCTACCTCTGACATCTGTCCTATATCTATCACCCCTCAATGTAAAGCTATGTCCCCTCATGCTAGCCATCACCATCCGAGGAAAAAGGCTCCCACTGTCCACCCTATCTAATCCTCTGATCATCTTGTATGTCTTTATCAAGTCACCTCTTAACCTTCTTCTCTCTAACGAAAACAGCCTCAAGTCCCTCAGCCTTTCCTCATAAGACCTTCCCTCCATACCAGGCAACATCCTGGTAAATCTCCTCTGCACCCTTTCCAATGCTTCCACATCCTTCCTATAATACGGTGACCTGAACTGTGCGCAATACTCCAAGTGCGGCCGCACCAGAGTTTTGTACAGCTGCAACATGACCTCATGGCTCCGAAACTCAATCCCTCTACCAATAAAACCTAACATACTGTACGCCTTCTTAACAACACTATCAACCTGGGTGGCAACTTTCAGTGATCTATGCACATGGACACCGAGATCTTTCTGCTCATGCACACTACCAAGAATCTTACCATTAGCCCAGTACTCTGTATTCCTGTTACTTCTTCCAAAGTGAATCACCTCACACTTTTCCGCATTAAACTCCATTTGCCACCTCTCAGCCCAGCTCTGGAGCTTATCTATGTCCCTCTGTAACCTGCAACATCCTTCCGCACTATCCACAACTCCACCAACTTTGGTGTCATCCGCAAATTTACTGACCCATCCTTCTACGCCCTCATCCAGGTCATTTATAAAAATGACAAACAGCAGTGGCCCCAAAACAGATCCTTGAGGTACACCACTAGTAACTGAACTCCAGGATGAACATTTCCCATCAACCACCACCTTCTGTCTTCTTACAGCTAGTCAATTTCTGATCCAAACCGCTAAATCACCCTCAATCCCATGCCTCCGTATTTTCTGCAATAGCCTACCGTGGGGAACCTTATCAAACGCTTTACTGAAATCCATATACACCACATCAACCGCTTTACCCTCATCCACCTGTTTGGTCACCTTCTCAAAGAACTCAATAAGGTTTGTGAGGCACGACCTACCCTTCACAAAACCGTGTTGACTATCCCTAATCAAATTATTCCTTTCCAGATGATTATAAATCCTATCTCTTATAATCCTTTCCAACACTTTACCCACAACCGAAGTAAGGCTCACTGGTCAATAATTACCAGGGTTGTCTCTACTCCCCTTCTTGAACAAGGGGACAACATTTGCTAGTCTCCAGTCTTCTGGCACTATTCCTGAAGACAATGACGACATAAAGATCAAAGCCAAAGGCTCTGCAATCTCCTCTCTAGCTTCCCAGAGAATCCTAGGATAAATCCCATCCGGCCCAGGGGACTTATCTATTTTCACACCTTCCAGAATTGCTAACACCTCCTCCTTATGAACCTCAATCCCGTCTAGTCTAATAGACGGTATCTCAGTATTCTCCTCGACAACATTGTCTTTTTCCTGTGTGAATACTGACGAAAAATATTCACATAGCACCTCTCCTATCTCTTCGGACTCCACGCACAACTTCCCACTACTGTCCTTGACCGGCCCCAATCTTACTCTAGTCATTCTTTTATTCCTGACATACCTATAGAAAGCTTCAGACCCATCTGAAGTACTCGAACTATAGCGTTTCCAGTCAATATTTGGAAAGTTAAAGTTCCCCATAACAACTACCCTGTTACTTTCGCTCCTATCCAGAATCATCTTCGCAATCTTTTCCTCTACATCTCTGGAACTTTTCGGAGGCCTATAGAAAACTCCCAACAGGGTGACCTCTCCTTTCCTGGTTCTAACCTCAGCCCATACTACCTCAGTAGACGAGTTGTCATCAAACATCCTTTCTGTCACCGTAATACTGTCCTTGACGAACAATGCCACACCTCCCCCTCTTTTACCACTTTCCCTGATCTTACTGAAACATCTAAAGCCCGGAACCTGCAACAACCATTCCTGTCCCTGCTCTATCCGCGTCTCCAAAATGGCCACAACATCAAAGTCCCAGGTACCAACCCATGCTGCAAGTTCACTCACCTTATTCCGGATGCTCCTGGCATTGAAGCAGACACACTTCAAACCACCTTCCTGCCTGCCGGTACACTCCTGCGACCTTGAAACCTTATTCATGACCTCACTACTCTCAACCTCCTGTACACTGGAGCTACAATTCAGGTTCCCATCCCCCTGCTGAATTAGTTTAAACCCTCCCGAAGAGCATTAGCGAATTTCCCCCCCAGGATATTGGTACCCCTCTGGTTCAGGTGTAGACCATCCTGTTTGTAGAGGTCCCACCCACCCCAGAATGAGCCCCAATTATCCAGGTATCTGAATCCCTCCCTTCTGCACCATCCCTGTAGCCATGTGTTCAACTGCTCTCTCTCCCTATTCCTCGCCTCGCTAGCACGTGGCACGGGTAACAAACCAGAGATAACAACTCTGTTTGTTCTAGCTCTAAGCTTCCACCCTAGCTCCTTGAATTTCTGCCTTACGTCCCCATCCCTTTTCCTACCTATGTCGTTGGTGCCTATGTGGACCACGACTTGGGGCTGCTCCCCCTCCCCCTTAAGGATCCCGAAAACACGATCCGAGACATCACGGACCCTGGCACCTGGGAGGCAACACACCAACCGCGAGTCTCTCTCGTTCCCACAGAATCTCCTATCTGTCCCCCTAACTATGGAGTCCCCAATGACTAATGCTCTTCTCCTCTCCCCCCTTCCCTTCTGAGCAACAGGGACAGACTCTGTGCCAGAGACCTGTACCCCATGGCTTACCCCTGGTAAGTCATCCCCCCCAACAGTATCCAAAACGGTATACTTGTTTTTGAGGGGAACGGCCACAGGGGATCCTTGCACTGTCTGCCTGTTCCCTTTCCATCCCCTGACTGTAACCCATCTACTTTTTTCCTGTACCTGAGGTGTGACTACCTCCCCGTAACTCCTCTCAATTACCCCCTCAGCCTCCCGAATGATCCGAAGTTCATCCAGCTCCAGCTCCAGTTCCCTAACACAGTTTCCGAGGAGCTGGAGTTGGGTGCACTTCCCGCAGATGAAGTCAGTGGGACACTCGTGGTGACCCTTACCTCCCACATTCGACAGGAGGAGCATACAACTGCCCTAACATCCATTCCCACTGTTCTGAACTCCCAGACAAATAAAAAAAAACTAGTAGCCTTACCAAATCAGCGCTCAGAACCTTTT